TCTTCTTCCTTTCTTTACCCAGTCAGCAGTGTGCTGACTGGGTTCTGTTTCCGGGCACTTTCTTCTTTCTTTATCAAGTCAGCAGCATGCTGACTGGGTTCTGTTTCCGAGCAGTTTCATCTTTCTTTCGATTAATGCTGTAAATCACATATGATTTTTTGCACGGAAACTTTCAACTGGTGAATGTCCCATAGACACTTAGTGTCCCATTTCATTGTACAACAATCCATTCTCATAATATACTACTAATGTTTTTAACTGATTGTCATATTATTAATATGACCATCCTCCTACACCCCAGTCACCTCCTACACCCCAGTCTGGGATCAGGGCTCACACAGTGGTCATCGGGGTTAAATTTTCAAAATAGCCAAATTGAGCTCAAATTTACCAGGAATGATACTTTGGACCTTCTAAACACGAAAAAAAAAATACTCTTCACCCCATATATCAAAGTTTATAGGTCAAAGGTTCACAATGTTAATAATGGCTAACGACTGAACCGAATTCAATCAAATTGATAATTAAGAACCAGTGCCACATCCTACACCCCTGTCTGGCATCAGTCGTTACATAGGAGTTATCGGGGTCAAATTTTCAAAATAGCCCAATTGAGCTCGAATTTACCCGGAATGATCCTTAGGACCTTCTAAACATGAAAAACTACTCTTCACCTATAGGTAAAAAATCGGAAGGCTCACTATAGTGAAAATTATCAAATATTGCTAGTGAATAATGATTGGACCAATTGCATCAGACAGACTCCTACCAAACATGGGGTGTTCACAGGTGTAGGTTAAAGGTCACAATGGTAATCTCTTAAAAAATGATTGGGTTCATGCTCTATTGAACATAGTATCTCTAGTTCTTTCTTTCTGGTAACATTTTAAAAGGCTACTAGTGGCAACCTACTGGACCGACTTAATTAAAACTTGGTCAGTAGGACCCCCCCATTCATGAGTTTTTCACAACTTGGGGTCAAAAGTCACATAAGGGGCATTAGAGTCAAAAAACCAAAAATCATATAAAAGACTACTTGTCTCACAAATAACGTAGCACAGTCTGTTCCTTTGCACATATATACATTGGCATAAGGCAGAGTCTATAGGGTGTTCAGGGATAAGGGGTCAAAGGTCATTAAGGGGTAATTTTATTCTTTTTTCTAGCAACTTTTCAAAACGCTACTACGGTCGTGCCGATTTCAACCAAACCTGGTCAGTATAATCGCTGACACCTCTCATACATGGGTTGTTCACTGATTGGGGTCAAATGCCACATAGGGGTCATTAGAGTTAAAAACTTCAAAAAAATGAATAAAAGACTTCTGTCACAAATAACATAGCACACTCTTGTCATGGGCACATATGTATTGGCATAATGTAGTGTCTTTATGGTGTTCAGCGATTTTCGGTCAAAGGTCATTCTTTTGTTCTCTCTAGTAACATTTAAAAATGCTATTAATGGCAAACCATTGGACCAAATTCAATCAAATTTCGTCATTAAGATCCGGCGACACCTCATACACCCCAGTCTGGGATCAGGGGGTCACATAGGGGTCATCGGTGTCCAATTTTCAGAAAAAAAATCCAATTGAGCTCAAATTCACCAGGAATGATCCTTAGGACATTCTAAACACTAAAAAAAATACTCTTCACTCCCTATGTCAAAGTCACAAGGGTCACTACAGTGAAAATTATCAAATCATAATGAAAACTTGAGGACATCTGATCACTGACGGTTCACTGCACAATTTAACACCGTAAATGAATCAAAACCGGACCCCCTTTTCTCACAAAATCGACTATATAATTTGAATGGTTTCATTTGGCAATCTGGGGCGATCAAATTACGAAACTAGCTGTTTTAAGCTTTATAATCATCTATATATTTTTACAATTAATGCAAAATTGAGTGATCATTTTTCTTTCAAAGTTGACTACCTCTTATGCTTTTGCATAGGAAAAAGGTTTAAATTAGAGTGTTTTTGGTATACTTCCTGCTTCTTTTTACCATAACTCTGCAACGACAGGTCGCTAAACTTCGGGGTGAACGGTCAATTTTAACTCAAATTAAGCTTTCTGTTACCATGTAAGTCCTGTCTCTTATACACATCTAGATGTGTATAAGAGACAGTAATAATACTTACTGGCTCATAATTTGTAAAAATCTCTATTTACTATTCAACAGCATTAATAACATTATCTACATTTTTTTTTTACCAATTTTTGTTAATTTATTTTTTATGGGATCTATCTATCTATCTATTGCCATTAATATCATTATTCTCATTATCATGTAATTATCATCAATGACATTAGTATTAACTTTTATAATTAATAATATTTCATGGAAAGACAAATCACTGGCAGTATTAACCGACCTCCTCCTGGT